AACGAATTACGAGGGTATCAACGAAGGAGCGAACGAATTACGAGGGTATTAATGAAGGAGCGAACGAATTACGAGGGTATCAACGAAGGAGCGAATGAATTACGAGGGTATTAACGAAGGAGCGAACGAATTACGAAGGTATTAATGAAGGAGCGAAAGAATGAGTGAATTTACGAAGGAGCGTACTGCACGAGGGAAATAATGAAGGGCATAAGAACGAATGAGAGAATTAACGAAGGAACGTACGAATGAGGGAATAAACGAAAAAGGGAACGAACGAGAGAACGAATGAGCGAACGTACGAGCAAGCGAACAAGGCTAGGAGAAAGGATGAATGATTATAAGGAGAGAGTTAGGGGAAAAAATACGACATACCTACATGGATCAGTCTATTATCTAATTTTATCTAATTATCAATAGAATAAAAGAGTTGCTGTTATTTTTCAGGGAAAGAATTCAGAGCATTAGTTATAAGCACAGTCCGAACAAGACACTCCATAGAACCATCTCGTCTTCAAGATCATCATGAAGATCTTTCGTTGCAATTTCTTTCCGATCCAAAGCTCTTAGTAACCGCCGTGACTCGAGCAAAGTCACTTGTGGCTGTGGTAGGTGATCCTGTTGCTTTGTGTACTATTGGAAGTCGTGAATGTAGATCTCTCTGGAAGAACTATATATCTTCCTGCGACAATCTTAAGGCTTTGTATGGTACAACGTGGCAAGATTTGGTCCGAAAAATCGGAGAAATCCGAGCTGGAGATCGGGTAAAGAACATTTTTCTTAATCCAGAAGCAGCATCATTTGTTCCAGGCAATTCACAGTCAACTGATGTTGACCAAGAAACGTCTGATGATGACGATGATCCTAACACAGAGCAGCTTGATGAAATCATTAAAGCTTTTATCAAGAAATTCAAGGAAAGGGAAGCCTTTGAAAAAGATTTTCCATATTTATCAAGAAATAATGAGCATTCTTTGCCCTCGGGAGTCGATGATGCAGGAGCACGGCCACCGAAAAGAAACCATTCTAGATTACTTGATTTGAAATCGTTGCGATGTAAATGGCTCATTCGTAGAAAAAATGGCCGTGAAGAAATACTTTTGCTTGATCTGGGTCACGACAAACGATCCGACCAACCTGTTGTTTTGAACCCAGAAGAAGAGGAACCAGGCATTGCAGACCCCAAAGAATTAAAACAGAAGCTTGAGGGGGACCCAACAAGGTACCTGACCGCTCGCCTTCATATTGGAAGCGACAGATTCAGGACTACGTACGCCGTTCTCCAAGATAAAACCAAACCTGACATACAAGTGAAAGGGTCGATCAGACAGGCATTTAATGGGGATACAGTTGTCATCGATTTACAAAGAGATAATCTGGCGATTAAAGGGAATGTTGGTTATTTTATCGGTAAGTATGGAACTATTTATCTAGATGATTGATAACTGATGACTAGTCTCCTTCGCAGGCGTCATTAGTTTCGGTCCCAGATCCCCACGGGCCCTCTGGGACCGAAAACTAATGAGAATAGAAGATTCAGAAGCGACTAGAAATTCGGAAGCGATTTGGAATTCAAAGCCAATGGCGTATACCATTAAGTCAAGCGATTGATCCGAGGGGCCCTTCCTTCAAATGGTACGCGTCAGTTCTTATAGAACTGGGCCCGGTTGCACGAGGCCTGGATAGCGCTATCCGGCGGATAAATACTTATCCAGTGGATAAGTTGATGCTGTTATGCAATAAATGTATTTACTGGATAAGACTTATCCGTCGGGATAGCACTATCCATTCTTCGTACAACCGGGCCCAGGTTCGAGCCGTCCAGTTTAACGAAGTGACGCCTACCAATTCAGAATTGATGACCTCTTGGACTGATCGATTCGACTTATTGGAAAGCTCTCAGAAAAAGAAAAGAGAAAGAAAACAATATAAACACAGGAAAGAACCATTTGGAAGACTTTCCTAACGTAGTACAGTAGCGAGGACCAAGCCCTTTTCCATGCAACCACGTCTCTATAGATAAGAATCATTTCAAGCATCTAACTTGATTCGTATGATTATTGAAATAACCTGGTTCTAAACTAGACATTAATACATCTTTTCATATAACTTATGCTAAATCATTGTCTATTCGTATATCAAGGTGTGCTAAACCAATTTGCTGATCCTCGTGGAAGGCAATATGTTTGTGAAGTAGACCATAAAAACCCTTCGATTATGGTGCCTATTGACAGATCCTTCACAAAGATCATGAATGTCAGCGACAAGAAGTGCAAAGATATTCCGATATACGAGAAAGATGAACGTGGAAGGCTAGAGGAGATCAAAATGTTAAGCTTGCAAGAAGCTCAAAGCGAAAAATGTTTGTTCCTAGTTGAGTTTCTGAAGTGGAAAAAAGGCTTCCCGTTGCCTTTGGGATGCGCCTTGAAGACTATTCCAAGAGGCGACAAACTAGACACTTCCAAGGAAATACTTCGTACAGAATTGGGAATACCCAAGAACTTTAGCAACGACATCCAGGAAGTGCTCCAGAAATCAACCCCTGAAGTACATCAAGTACAAAGTGAGTTAGCCAAACGGACGAGGGTAACTAATGCCTTTACTATTGACCCACCCCAAGCCAGAGACTTGGATGATGCTATTTCACTAGATGTCATTGGAAATGAAAAGTTCAAGGTTGGGATTCACATCGCTGATGTAAGTTTTTTCGTACAAAGTGGTACTGAACTGGATCAAAAAGCACGACAGAGAGGTGTGTCTTACTATTCTGGTCAAAGTGGGGAAGAAAATATACCCATGCTTCCACGTGAACTAAGTGAGAATATCCTTAGTCTCCTGCCAAATGAGGACCGCTTGACTGTTTCAGTTTTCGTTACTCTTGACAGTAAAGGAAAGGTCGTCGGTGAAGAAGAGATTTTGAGAACTGTGACGCGTTCTCGCTGTAGGCTTAGCTACTCTCAAGCACAGCAGATATTAGACATGGAGAAGCATGATAATGTAGAGAGAGTGCCTGCCGAAGTGCCTCCAGCAATTAAGAGGCTTCATTCACTTGTCGTGAAAAGGCGCTGGCAGCGTCTTAAAGAAGCATCTTTTGACCATTCAAACAACAGAGAACACGCAGATGCACACGAGCTTATCGAAGAGCTCATGATTCTTGCCAATCATACTGTTGGTGATAAATTGCTTAGAGAAGTTGGAAAGGGTACTCCTTTTCGCACTCAAGACGAACCTAAAGTCGACAATCTTAACGAGTGGGCTTCAAGCTATGGTTCGTTTGCCAAGTACTCTCTCGCCTTGCAACCTCATCTTGAGAGTAAAGATATCAAGCCTGAAGTTAGGGAAACTATCATGTCTAAACAGAATATTTTCATCAAGAACGAAGTGTGGGAAGAAATTCGCAAGGCCGTAGCATCTAAAGACCACAGAAAAGTAACAAGGTTAATATGCGACCCGTTTTGTTCCCTCCAGATTGCAATAGCTCGACAGAATCTAATGAAAATCCAATGCAGGTCACAATACCAAGCTGGCATAGAGGAACCATACCACCATTCCTTGAAATTAAGAAGCTACGTTCACTTTACCTCGCCCATCAGGCGTTACGTAGATATCGAAGTCCACCGCCTCCTTTTGGCATTGATACAAGGAAATGGTCTCAATATGGAACAACAAGCTTTGAGTGAAGATGAGATGACAACGCTCTGCCAGAGAGCAACTTTAGTGAAGGATAACTCGGGGAAATTTGAGAAGGAATCTGAACGCCTCTATTTTGCCTCCAAACTAAAACAAAAAAGCCTGACTGGTATGTTTGTGATAGACAAGATCGAAGAACATGCCTTTACCATTCATCCTGTAAATCCAGAGCAAGAACAACTGTTGGGCAACCAGAAGACGATTTCGTTTGATGACTTATCACCGTATTCTAAATCAGAAAACACCGATGGAGCTCCAAGAACAACTTTGAAATGGAGATTCAGGATGTACATTGCCTCCTCCTCAAGAAAGAGTTATAGAGATTTTGCAGGTTCGAAAAAGGATGATCCCTTGTTTGCATTAAGTAAAGATGCTGACGACATCAAGACCTTCATGGAGCATAAATATCGGTTTGAAGCTCACAAGATCGAAGGGGATACCTGGATGAGGATTATAGATGCTATCAAGACAAGTAGCACACCCCAACTGTTGCGCCATTTACGAGAAGCAGACCAGATGAAACAAAATGTTGATGATGGTGATGATGATGATGATGGTGATGATGATGATGATGATGATGAGGATGATGATGAGGATGAGGATCACGATGACGAAGACGATGACCATTTTTTCAAGATAAACTGGAAGCTCAAACAGTACGACATGATATGTCTTCAGCTGCACTCGCGATTGTACCGTGGAATGATCCAACCAGATGAGCAGTTATTAAAAGTATCCCCTCATTTTGGTATTTGCTTAGAGCACCATCGAGATCCCAGAGGGTGTTTTGCTTGCCATGCAACCGGACAAGTCAATACGATGAAAGTCTATCAAACAATCCCATCGTATATTCACCGTTGGAAACCTCTGTTGGAAATGGAATCGGCTACTGGTGCAGTAAGGCAGAGTGATGGATATACTCTAAAAGACCTTGAAGTTACATGGAGTCTGAAGGATGATACCATCAAAGGACAGTACACCCTTACAAGCTCATACTGTGAAGATCGACAAATATACTTCAATCGGGGAGATTTCACGTGCGTGAAGATTTCATGTGGGTCTGTCGAAACCAGCGCTGAAACAAGTTCATCCTTGCGTTATACCAAATCCCCGGACAACGCATCGACGGTCATCTGGATAGGACATGGTATTATCAAAGAATGCCTAGTGAAGGGAGAAAAAACAAAAGAGAAAGATGAAAGGAAAGCGACGGTAACTCTAAAGATACTGCAAATGTCATCTAAATTTCCTCACGAACTACAAGATGAACAGCGGTATAGAATTATGTGTGATTTGGATATCATCTACCAACCGCTACCGTTAAGGTTTGTCTTTGTTCATTTTTATCTTGCTTTCCTCTATGGGTTACTAGCTATATGGCATTATCGTTGAAGTGCGACCTGCGAAGCGAACTGAGTTAGATGTGTCTCGTTCGGCGACTAGCATTTCAACGACTGTCAGTGAGAACTGCAATAAAAAAACAAAATATGTTGAGGGCGGTTTTGGACTGAATTGAAGGTTTTGAAGGATTGGAGGCAGGGGTGGATCTAGGATTTTTCCTGACCAGTGCCAATTCTCAAATCCACCTATTCCAAATCTTCAATAGTGTAATATTTACTTCTTGTGTATAATGGAAGTAGCTAATATTGACTGTGAATACATGTTAAATTAAAACACATTGATATAAATTACAATATATGTGATTTCTGATGTATTTAGGTAGCCGGAGAGAAGGAGAGAAAACACTAGACACAGAAAACAATAGATTCAATTATTCAAACACAGCCGACTTACTAATAGCAATATAAGACAATTCTTACTTATTCTTGCTGTAGCAAGGTATTTAGCTGCTGATTTACAGGAACCGTTTCTTGTCTCATACTTCGAAGGAAATTATTCATTGCAACAACAGAGTAATTATGTGTTTGACATTTGCCATTTGAATGATTTCCTAGGCGTTGAAAAGCAGTTGTCCAAAAGGTCAACGGCGACTTGACGACCACTTTCTTTGGCAAACATAGAGCAGGGGAGGCAGAAGGCTCCATCGAGGTACTTTGAATATACCAACCAAGGAAAACTTTTCAACCAGACTGGATTAAATCTTCTAGTTCTGCTGCCTTCTTTTGACTTAGGAAATTGAAAATCGCTATTCGGTTTCCATACGTTAGTGATAACTTCATGTTTCTTTTTTAATCCGATAAACCATTAAGATCATCAAATAAGACCCCAAAATCATATGGAGAACAATCCTCCTTTCGAAAGGTTGGTTCTCCACGAGTTATATAAGCCATGCATGCTTTGTAATTCTGCCTGTAAATAACGTGTATACTTGTAATCTTTGGTCACACTACGTCGACTAGCGTCTTTCTTACCAGTGCCGACTAGTGCCAACCACATAAGTAGCCAATAGCAAGCGACTTTGACTAGTGCCAAAAAATAAAGCTAACTGGTGCCAGCCAATGGGATGAGTGTTTGACCAGTGCCACATATCAATGCCGTGACAACCTTGACAGTACAACTGAAAGCAATACATTCCCGTGGGCCCCGACCCTAATACACAAATTTTGTCTCAAGAATATTTGTTTCCGGAAAGAACGACCGGAAGTGCAGGCACTTTCGTGGGATTAAAAATGTCGAAAGATTTTTTTGTATGAATTTCGCTTATGATTTATTTAAAAAGTATTAATTTCTTCTTTTTTCAAAAACTTTGACTAGTTCCATGGAACTAGTGGCACTAGTCTGGATCCACCCCTGGGAGGATTAAAATCTTTAATTCAGCTAAACTTTCCCTCAAAATGTTTTCTTTTTTAAAATTCCAGTTCTTTGATTGACGGTCGTTGAAATGCATGCTAGTACGTCGGCAAACGAGACATCAAGCTTCGTGGGTCGTACTTCAACGATATATAATGGTAGCAATACTGAGATAATGCGGGGGATGTCGAGATAATATATAGTGGGAATTAAACAGTGGGCGTAGAAAAGTCTCGGTCATAGACGGGGGGGAGGGGATGAGGGTAGTGCAATGTATCATTTTCCCGCCAGTAATACATGCACACGCGTTTCAACCTTAGAGTTTACCGCCATATTTAGATGTTTATTAATTTAGGGGGGGGGGGGGTTATAAAGATGGCCGTCATAGAAACAATAGATTTGTCATATATATTTCTTGAATTCTCATTAGTATACGTATTCATTAATATTGTACATAAAAAAATGTTTTAAGGCGCATGAACGAAGCACTAACCGTGAAATTGGAGAATGGTTCGGATTTGGTTCAGAAAATCTGCCTAGGAAAAAAGACTCCGAAAGGTAAGGTAGTGGAAGTCACAATACTGACCCTACCCTAGACTTCAGAGGTTCTAATTCGCTCTGGGTAGGTTTAATTTAAACAGCAAACGACGGGGCGATAATAGTAACCTCTGGACCTCAGGGTAAAGTCAAACAGTATTAATTAATTAAGATCGGTCTATTCAATGAGTAGACTCCTACGTAGACTGAAAACAGTTCCTCTATTTCCCTTGGTCGCTGTCCGTGTGTATGTCCCTGTCGATTGGTCGAGGAATATTGGTTACGAGTCAAAAGTCCCTGGGGGAGGGGGCTGTTCCTTTCGTCCTTCCCTCCCCAGCCCCCTCCCCCAGGGACTTTTGACTCGTAACCAATCGTCCTCGGCCAATTGACACGGACGGAAGAAGAGACAGACAGACGGCAAGACAGATGCTCGCAGTCTATCTCCTACGCAGTCGACTACACAGAGGCGCGATTAGCGCGTCACGCAACGCTCACTCCTCTAAGTAATAAGTTAGGCGAGTAAGCGTTGCGTGTTAGAAGACTATTCAATGAGTAATTAAGAACGAATCCGAAAGCATCATTTTGCACATTTTTATTATTTTCAGCTAGTTTTCCTCTTCCCCACACGAAAAACGAACTATCTCTCGCGGTTCACTTCGAAAAGTCTGGTTTTCACTCATTAAATGAATACCAAGAGAAGGCTGTCCGACAGGCTTTAAAGAAAAACTTCTCGCTCATTCAAGGTCCACCAGGTATGTATGACAATCTATTCTGAATTTTAAAGCATTCTATTACCATAAACGATGGTTTACTAAACGTTTGTAATACAGTGTATAATTCGTAAAATAACACAGTGCAATCCACCCGGCTTCGCACCATCGGCTCCCTGCATGGGATAACAGCCACGTAGCTGAAGGAACTACCGACTGAAATAGAGGATATTACATGTCCACGCGGAGCGAGATACGGAAGTTTATAGCGTATCTTCGAGTGTTTAGGTTTAATGTCTTCAACAAGAGAAGGTAGAATCCGTATCTCCTAGCGGTCGTGTAATATTCTGTTTAATATATAATTATCGATGAAATAAAATTTTGTTGGATTTTCATTATTTAATGCGATTCCTAAGAATTCTTACCAATGTTGTTATTTTCACATGTGAAGATATCACATTTTTGGTAACAGAGAAAAATACTAAAGTTACTTTTATACCTTTACCTTTTCGTCTTGGTTGCAATATTTTCCCTATTTTAGACCACGCGTCATTCTCTAGAGTATCATTTCTTTGCTAAACGGTTGCAAAGGAGAAGACTCATATGAATATGAATATGGATACAACTCAAACAAAGAACTATTCTCAAGAGAATGACACGTGGTCTGAAATGGGAAAACATTACGCTCAAGGCGAAAGGTGTATTACAGACGCAATTCTTTCCCCATTTTGTGTTTTGATTAGGTACTGGCAAAACTGTTACAGGAATCCATATTGCTTATTGGTTTGCCAAGGTAAACAGCGAAATGATGCCAAGAAATGCAAGCGAGGACGAAAAGCCCCCAGCGGCACCCCCACAGGTTCTCTACTGTGGGCCCTCCAACAAGTCTGTTGATGTCGTTACAGGTAACTAAATGGCATGAGATAGGACTTTTTTTTAACATTACCATTGACATATCTACTGCCAGCTTCTTTCAGTTCGAATCTAATTTTGTATTCATTCAAATGCATGAACTGGCATTGAAAAATGGTGTTATTAGGCTATAAAAGGTAACTACGAAGGATTCTAATAGTAAATATAATAACGCAAGGGAGTAGCGAGGGGCTGGAGTGGCCCCCCTCCCCTCCCCGATTTTGACTAAAAATCGTATTTTCCTTTTTTACTATTTTATTGGGCTACCTGTGGATTTGGCGGGAGTTTTCGCACCAAAACGCGTGTCGGCTCGCCCTTCCAGCTCTAGTACTCTCGATACGCCATTGTAATAACGCTTTACTTTATATCTTGTATTTATAAGAATATCTCCTGAGGATTCCTGAGATGAAGGACAAGATTCTTCGAGTTCACGGTACTCTGATTCAAGAAACCGAGTATCCCATCCCAAACAAGATTGGAAGCTGCAAACCGACCACGAGTAAAGACGAACTCAAGATTCCAGAAGGCGAAGTTAAAGAAGTTTCTCTTCATCATTTCATAAGAAGTAAGGCGTCGCCTTACTCAGAGAAGCTAGCAGAAATGGAGGCAAGGTTTGCGGAATTGAAGAACAAGAAAGAAGAAAAGAAGAAGAAAAAGAAAGTCCCAGGCGCATATGTTGAGGAGTATTGTAAAGTAAGTATTAAGGGACCGAGGAGGAGGAAGAGGGGTGGGGGGAGGTAGTAAGTCGTTTTCTTTTACTTCCATAAAATTCCCACCCATCCGATCCCCAACTGTAACCCCGAATTTTGTGAAGACGTCTCTTCCGAAACTGATTTATAATGACACCTCTAAGACACATCACCGACACCGTCTCCCCGTTGCCGAGACCATAGTTACATGTAATTGAAAGTGGAAAAAAAAACTCCACGGGTATGCAAATTCATGAAATCTTCACATCAGTGACCTGATAGTTTAGTTGTATTTACCTATTAGCCATTCCGTGGTTGAGGAAAAAACTGGATCGACTTGGCATTGCAGTGGATTGTGGGGCTGTTTTAGGGGGCATATTTTCAAGATGGTGTCTATGTCGTCCACTAAAACTGCCCCCAAAATGCACTGCAATTCCAACTCGAACCAGTTTTTTCCTCATCCTCGGAATGGCGTATTGATCTGTACTACATAATGTTTCTCAACAGTTGATCTCCGAAGCTGAACGATGGGCAATCCAGAGAACTGACAAAGAGATAATACTCTGCACGTGTTCCCGAGCAGGCAGTAGGACGATCACTGAATTCTGTGATAATATTCAGCAGTGTATTATCGATGAGTGTGGGATGTGTACGGAACCAGAGTCTCTGGTCCCCATGACGTCATCCAATGCTAAACAGTTCGTTCTGATTGGTGACCACAAACAGCTGCAACCAATCGTAATCGACAGACTGGCCAAGAGCTTTGGGTTACAAGTATCGATGTTTGAACGACTTTCCAACAGGGCATTCATGCTTGAGATTCAATACAGGATGGTAAGCATTCTCACGACTCACTCTTTTTAGATCAGTTTTCGTAGGACTGCAGTGAAAAGCTCTGGGCACGAACAAGGTCGTTACACGGCAAAGGATACGCCAGACCAATGACACTGCACAAGACTTTACTCTTCTTCCAATCAAATACCCGAAACCAACCAATCGCATTGCGCGAGAAACAAATCCCCTAATCAAAATTCTAGAAAACATTTAGGTCGCGGCAAGGCACGCATTCGGCACCGACTTAGTTTTCCCTTTCATACGAAAACTTCTCTATCTAATCTCTCTCCGCTTTCTTTCTCGTCTTTCCCTTTCTCTCTCTATGGTCGAGTTTCATTTTTCCACAGGAAGCCCACCTTGGATGAGGAGAGTAAAAAAACTCATACAATAGCTGTTTTTCACTCTTAGTAGCAGCATTTATAGCTGTTATTGTTTGTTATCATAGCATCCATCGATCTGTGAGTTCCCGTCTAAATGGTTTTACGGGGGCAAGTTAGAGACACCAGATATCGTGAAGTCCCGCACAACAGCCAATGTGCAAATTTGGCCTGCACCAGTGGACAAAGATCTAAGATGTGCTTTTTGTCATGTGGAAGGAGAAGAAAAGTCGACGGTCATTTCTACAGCTGAAAGTGGTGTCGATTCAAAATACAACGACGAAGAAGCTGTCAAGGCCGTAAGTAATGAGTTATAATTAAGAAATAGTCAGTGCTTAGTGTGCGTATGTCCAGTTCTGGACGTGGATTACCCACCAAATATTGAGTCGGAAGTACTGAGTAAGTCATTTCAAACACCAAATGTATGAGCCAAAACATTAGAATTTTAACTGGTGACGCTGCATGGTGGATATTATAGCACGGCAAAGAAGAGTAAACAAGACACGGGGCTACAAGCGGCCATTGCTTTTATGTCCTTAGTTCGTCGTCGTTCATTTGCATGTCCCTAGCTAGACGACAACACCACAGCGTAGATGTGTTTACTAGCTATCATAATTATTTCATTCATTCCCTCACAACCCAAGGTCCAAGTGGCTGAATACCTGGTTGACAACCACAGACAACAGATAAGAGAGAAGAACATAGTCATCCTGACGCCATACAGACAACAACGCAAAGTCATTCAAGATCTTCTGAAAGATGCTGACAAGGATATCCTTGTTACTACTATCATTAAAAGCCAAGGTAGGTAGACATCTTGATACTTCTTACAATATTTTCTCATCTAATAAAAAAAAATTAATATATTTCAACACCAACTGCAGGATTAGTTTTATTTCCGAGTGAAACCGAATCCCTTCAGACTCCTTAAGCGTGAAAATGTTCTTTTGAACCAGTTTGTCGGGGGCAGTGCACTTGCATAGAAATTTCTAAATTGAACGAGGGAAGGTATGAGTACGTTCTCAGTGACACAGAAAGTAATATTGCCGGAGAAACTACGCGAGGTAGTGCATGTTGTAGACTCCTTTGCAGACGTCCTTAGCGGCCGTCCTAAAAGGCCCCTAAGGGCATCTGCAAATGAATCTATGCATGACAGGGAAGGATTTTGTTCGGGGAGGGGGGGGGGGGG